TGCATCAAAACCTGCTCCATTCTACATTATTGCATAGAACTGTGAGTGCTCCCAGCTGAGTGCCTTTTTGCTGGGCTGTTTGTATCTTTGAGCCGTTCCTCCAATACAAGTTTTGTTAATTGCCACCGGACTCAATGCGTTCACCGCCATCGCACCACGCTGCACCTACAAGACTGCTATTGGGACTTAAGTTACGACAAGGCAGCAATACAATCTGTCCACAAGGGCCAAGCCTATTTCCTGTTCTACCCAACAAAGGTCCCAGAGAAAAATCTGAATTGTTATAATCATCCTCAATGGATCTCCAGGATGATCAGCAGATGAAGGAGCGTTCCTGGTACTAGGCTCCTCACATTGTTGGTTGCCCAATCCCGTTAGATTTTGGTCAGTTACAGCGACTATACAATGGGATAGAGAATATGAAAATATATATATATATATATATATATATATATATATATATAAAAATAAAATGCTGCGATGCTAAATAAAGAAAGAAAATTATATTCCTTACATCAAATGTTCAAAAATAAGTCCATACAAGTGAAATGGTCAATAAATGATCAATTATTCCTGTGTTTTCTTCATGTGCTATTATCACAAAACACCATCAAGTGAAGTAATAAATATCATGTGGCTTGTGTCACCTCAGTGCTCACAGAACCCTCACCTCAGAAGGAAAATGCAATTTGTAAAATCAAATGGGTATCATATTCTTTCAATCAACAGCCATCTGGTGGTAATTAGACACTTTTTGGATTTTCAATAGTGCACCAAAGCAGAGCTAGGGTCCCTTTTAGGAATAGTGGAGGGAATAGATTTCTATGAATTCTCGTCTGCCCTTACGCGTTGCGTCATGCCCACGTGACTTCATCAGAGGGTCCATCAGCATATCATAGTTTGCACTGAGGATGGCAATGAATTTGCTAGCTATTTAGCATGTTAGAATATGGCAGAGAAAGAGACTAAGCCCTGGTTCACACCAATGTGAGCTGCAATCTGCTGCGAGCAAAAGTGTCCATGACCCTATTCACATCTATGCATTTTCAGCCGCTGTGTTTTTGAACATGTTCCATAGGAAACCATTGTAAATGGACTGTAGGGAGTTTCTGCAAAAAGCACCAAAAAAATGCATAGGTGTGAACCAGGCCTAAAGGAAGAGGTGGACCTAATAAGTGGGATGCAGGTCCTAACTGAGATGGTTTGAGATATTAACTTTACTGCGGCCGAGACCCAAAACAACTGCATGCAACTGCCCAATGTTATGACTGGGCACTGCTAGTAACAGGTCTTTCCTTCTGCAAATTCGCATTGCCTTTGACCTAAAGGACAATCGTACCACCAACCCGCGGGGGCCATCAATGCATGTATGGCCAAACCCTGACTTTACATCACAGTTTTACAAGCCAAGCCAGGCTGCCCTCTCTCCCACCTTGACAACCCTCTTCTGTCCAAGTTGTGGCTTGCGATCGGCGCCCACCGGATCCAGGATAACGCAGTACTGACGGCTATTCATAGTGGTGATGTCCACCACCCCCACCACCTCCTCATACACATTGGGGATGTAGGCTTCAGTGTCGTCCATGGTCACCAGCCACTCTTCTCCCGTACGGCGCAAATTAGCCTTCTCATCGCGGAACGTCTTGGTGGCGCGGATGTGCAGAGCTTTCTACAACATGAAGAAAAAAAAAAAAAAAAAAAAAAAAAAGTAAGGTGAAGCAAGAGCAAAGCTATAGTTGTGATATGAACACCATCTGTTAAAGGGACAATCCACTTTATCTTGTCATGGATTAAGAAAAAAAGTTATTAAAGATCTCATAGCTGCCCTGTCTTTGTATACAAATTATTTGGCCGAAAACATTTCATTTATGGCTGAACAGTGACAGTTATCTGGTGTTTAGTGGGTGAGGCCTAAAAGCAGCAATGACACACATGGGTGCACAGCGTTGGGATGCCAGATTCCTTTACACCACGGGTCTCCAAACTTTCCAAACAAAGGGCCCGTTTACTGTCCTTCAGACTTTCTGGGGGCCGGACTTCTTTCACAAGACTGCTAGATACTGCTGATGAGAAAAAAGGTATTTAGCAGTTTATATTTACTAAGATTTCCATCTAACTTTTCCATGTTCTGTGTACTGTGGGAGAGCGGATACGGTGAATGCGGGGTCCGGGGAGGGCGGATACGGTGAATGCGGGGTCCGGGGAGGGCGGATACGGTGAATGCGGGGTCCGGGGGGAGAGCGGATACGGTGAATGCGGGGTCCGGGGAGAGCGGATACAGTGAATGCGGGGTCCGGGGAGAGCGGATACAGTGAATGCGGGGGTCCGGGGGGAGAGCGGATACAGTGAATGCGGGGTCCGGGGAGAGCGGATACAGTGAATGCGGGGTCCGGGGGGAGAGCGGATACAGTGAATGCGGGGTCCGGGGAGAGCGGATACAGTGAATGCGGGGTCCGGGGAGAGCGGATACAGTGAATGCGGGGTCCCGGGGGGGAGAGCGGATACGGATACAGTGAATGCGGGGTCCGGGTCCGGGGAGAGCGGATACAGTGAATGCGGGGTCCGGGGGAGAGCGGATACAGTGAATGCGGGGGGGGTCCGGGGAGAGCGGATACAGTGAATGCGGGGTCCGGGGAGAGCGGATACAGTGAATGCGGGGTCCGGGGGGGAGAGCGGATACAGTGAATGCGGGGTCCGGGGAGAGCGGATATAGTGAATGCGGGGTCCGGGGAGAGCGGATATAGTGAATGCGGGGTCCGGGGAGAGCGGATATAGTGAATGCGGGGTCCGGGGTCCAGTAACACTTTAATGGCACACTCACACACTTGCTAAAGTGCAATGTATTTCTCCACATATCGGGAAAGCAATTTTGAGAGTGTGTTCCTGACACACACACACGTTATTCTAGCCTAAAGACTTGTTTTTTGCTTGCATTGCCCTCTGATAAGCGTTCCGCTGTGGATCGCTTTTCACGAGGGAAGTTGAAAGGTGGCTGGGAGACACGCCTGTTTTAACCCTGTAAGGACCGCACTACCACACCGTGTGTATTGCACATAGCCCCATACATTTGATTAGGTCGCACACACGCGGGATTGGATCCATCTTGGCAGGGAAGACAGGGACAGTGACTGAATTATAGACGGATTTTTTCTGCTTGGAACACAACAATAAATCCATAGACTGATAATGTAACTCGGCTGTATCTGTATAATCAGTCTATACATAGCTGGGTGTGTGTCGGGGCGAGGGGGCAGATGGACTTGGGACCTGCGAGGTTATCACTGTGAAATTGGTCCTTTACTAGCCAGATCTTCAGATTATATGTCGGCCTAGTGATGTCAGGCAATAAAATGCTCTCTTCCTGTACAAAGATCAATGAGACAGTGGCTGGGGAGACACACCTGGATCGCAGGTCACTGTGACAACGCTTTCTATATTTCAGATTCTGAATATCATTCTTATCACATTTTGCTTAAAGAACCAACTGAGCGATTATCATGTGTGCAGCCATGTGCAATTATTACACTTCTGTATACAGAACCTTCCAGCCCCGGGCACCTGCTGCACAAAAGACGGTGTTTCTCCGCTCCCCACTCTGACTGCTGAGAGCAACGCAGATTCCACTCCTGTCAGTCAGCAGCAGCCATAGATTTGAGCCTTGAAGCCAGATCCTGGGATCATCCTGATTAGCCAGCAACTCTGTCCAAAAGCATGCAAGTTCCTAATTTTGCTTCTTCTATCTGCGTTGTGACTCATTTGGAGCGCCGAGCAACTATCTGCGACCATCATTTAATACACAACTGAAAATCAGAGTTCACAGTATTGTCTGTACAGAGATGCCGGCTAAGAGATGGCACAATCATTTAAATGCATACAAAATGTCTGACACAGATCAGCCCCTGGCTGTAGCTTCTCAACTTGCTACATGGTATGAAGTTCAGGGGTGTTCGCTACCATGATAGTGCTCCCAGATCACATGCAAAGCCGTATTTCATAAACAGAAGGTCTTTATTTTATGTGCCCTGGTTTTCCACATGCCCCGTGTCCCCAGTGTGCCCTATGCATCCCTGTAACTTTAACTGCACCCATTGTCCCAAGTGCCCCCCTGTGTCTCCAGTGTCCCTTGTGGCTCCTGTGTTCCCCTATAACTAAGTGTACCTCATGTCCCAAAATACATCCCTGTGTCTCCAGTGTGCCCCCGTATGCCTCTGAGACACCTGTGTCTGTATGCAGCCTCCGGAATGCTCCTGTATTATCTGCATCTACCCGTGATGAGGTGCCCCCAAGTGCCCTCTGTATGCCTCTGTGTTCCCTAGTGCTCCCCTTGTTTTGAGTGCAACCCTGTGTTTCCAGAGTGTCCCATGACTCCAAGTGCACTCTGTGCTTTAGGTGTCCCCTGTGATGTAAAATGCCCCCTGTGTCTCCAGGGCACCCCTGTATCTCCATGCTTTCTAGTGTTCCCTCTGCCTCCAAGTGCACCCCTGTGCACCTCCAACACCTGCGTCTCCCCACAGCCTCCAGAATGCTCCTACATCACCTGGATTGTCCTCCCTCAATGGATGCGCACCTTCATCCCTGACAGTTACAATCCACAGTTGTCTGCTACGCCCCGCCTCTCTATCCTCAGGTATGCTCCTGAAATCCCTTGGATTGACCTCTTCTCAGTGAATATCGACCCCTGTCTCTGACACTGGGGGAGAGGAGACCGAGGAAATGCTTCCTCCTGACTGCAGCAGGCTGACAACCCAATCTTAGGATAGGCAAAGTCACTGACTGAAGCTTTTTACCGAGAAGAAGTGGAGCTCTTCTGAAAAATAATATTTCCCCCCCCAAATATCTGGATTTCACCTGTGCTATGGTGAGGTTTCTTTTTTGGGGTTATTCGTCTTTTTTTTTTAGCCCCCAGCCCTTAAGAATGTTGGTGTTATTCAGTAATCCAGCCACCAGGAGGTAGAGGTGAGTAATTACCCCACAGCAGTCCCACTCACCGAAAACACTGGTCATGGCGGACCTACGTACAGTCCACAATGGTCATCATTTACCTTGTCGGTTAAGACAAAAGCGTCCACAACATCCACGACTTCTTCATACACACCCGGGGGAGATAGGCACCAACCTTCTTCACCAGCCACTCCTCCCCTGCGAAATAGAGAGGCAGCCAATCAATGGTGGGAAACTGAGCAGCATTCAAATTAAAAAAGTTATAGAATCTTATTTAAAAATGTTTTTGCAATGCCCAGAAATAATGGATCGGCACCTCCAGCTGACATTTAGGCTGTACAAAACTCATAACTTGGAGGCATTGACTTGGATCATCACATGCAATAAATAATGGCAGATGGGTACTGACCGGTGACCCGGGCATGGTCCTCCCTGTCCTGGCATTCCTTGCGGGCACGAAGGCGGATGGCCTGGTTGTGGCGGATGACAGTCGCTTGGAAGGTCTGAACCACCTCTACCTCCTTCCGGGGGATGTAGGTACCTGGCAGGGTGAGATTTCAGAAAGGAAGATCCATCTCTAATTCAGACATTGATTAAGAAAGAAAAATTGGCTGATAATTCACTTTGTGCGCCAGTACTGGTAGGGTGAAGCACTTGCTGCTTCTACATCGCCCCAAGAAGCAAAGTGGGAGGAGTTCCATGCAGTTGGTTCTTCATTTCTTCCAGTTAAGCCATAACCAACTGTCACAATGTTGAAGTGTGACACCACCACTTGTCTTTGCAATGGCCACCACGGTTAAGATGTGGGAATCGCATTGGGGAGATTCCTCTCTTTGGACTGTGAATCCATCACTTGTCTTTGCAATGGCCACCATGGTTAAGAAGTGGGAATCGCATTGGGGAGATTCCTCTCTTTGGACTGTGAATCCATCATGACTGCCTTTGCAATGGCAACCATGGTTAAGAAGTGGGAATCGCATTGTGGAGATGCCTCTCTTTGGACCGTGACTCCTTCGTGACTGCCTTTGCAATGCCAACCATGGCTAAGAAGCAAGAAACCCACTGGGGAGATATCAAATGTTTGAGCAGGACACCATCACTTGCCTTTGCGCTGGCCACCAGTGTAAATCCCAAGGGGAGAGCTCACTGTTGAGAGCATGACCCTATCACTTGCCTTTGCAATGGCCACTGTGGCTAAGAAGTGAGAATCCCATTGGGGAGATCTCACTGTTGGATCATGACACCATCACTTACCTTTGAAATGGTCACCATGGTTAAGAAATGTGAATCCCATGGGAAGATCTCACTGTTGGAGTGAGACACCATCACTAGCCTTTGCAATGGCAACTATGGCTGAGAAGAAGTGAGAATCTCACTGGGTGAGCTCATTGTTGGAGCATGACACCAACACTTGCCTTTGCAATGGCCACCATGGCTAAGAAGTGGGAATTAAATTGGGGAGATCTCACTGATGGAGCGTGACACCATCACTTGCCTTTGCAATAGCAACCATGGCTGAGAAGAAGCGAGAATCCCACTGGGGAGATCTCATTGTTGGAGCGTGACACCATCACTTGCCTTTGCAATGGCCACCAGTGCAAATCCCATGGGAAGAACTCACGGTTTGCAATGGCAACCATGGCTGAGAAGAAGTGAGAATCCCACTTGGGAGATCTCATTGTTGGAGCATCAGACCAAACACTAGCCTTTGCAATGGCCACCATGGTTAAGAAGTGTGAATCCCATGGGGAGATCTCACTGTTGGAGCTGACAACATCACTTGCCTTTGCAATGGCAACTATGTCTAGGAAGAAGAGAGAATCCCATGGGGAGATCACACTTTTGGAGCATGACACCACCACTTTCTTCTGCAATGGTCACCATGGTCAAGAAGTGTGAATCCAATGGGGAGGTCACACTGTTGGTGCCCCCAGGAATTATTAAAGTTCCTTACCTGGGCCTTCAAACAGCCACTCATCACCCGCCACAAACTTCTCGCTGTCATCTTCAAAGTCCAGCAGCGCTTTCAGGTGCAGCGCAGTGTTGGCGAGGACCACGGTCAGCGGTCGGACATTCTATATCAGAAAGGAAAAACATACAGGACCCAGACGTGACCTACTGTGAATAATCAAAAATTCTCATACGTTCAAATTCCAACTACAGAGCTTTGGATTTGGTTGGCTATAGGCAGGCAGATCTCCACAGTTTAATGAACCCCAAGATCTGCACAGTCTCACTACAGACATCAAAGGGCATCGCAACGATGTCCACCTCAACATGGGTGGTAACACAGAAGTAAATGTGAATGGGGTGTGCACAGGGCCGGACTGACCATTCGAGCACTGCCTGAGGGCCCGGGGTCAGTAGTGGGCCCCATGAAATGCCCCTGGTACCTTTTATAGGGGTTTTTTGGGTGTGCTTTGAGTGTGGGCAAGGACACGGGCCCCATGATACCTTATTGCCCGGGGGCCCCATATGTTATCAGTCCGCCCCTGGGTGTGCACACACATACATGTCTCTTAGATGTTTAAGAAGATGTGCCTGAGATGTGTGCTTCACTCATCAGTGTCCACAAACATTGCGGACCTTTTACTTTGTTAATCATTAAACACCAAGCAATTCATGGTAGAGAGAACAAACCAGCTACAGTGAGACATTGCCGCCTATGGGGAGGAAGGAGTGCCACAGCTGCTTTAGGATCAGACCTCATGAAGCCAGTTCATTCTGTGATCATCTCCCAATTAGTGTCCTTCAGGAAAATTCATCATATGGGAAGACAAGCCAGTAAAAGATTTTTTTTTTCCTGTTATGACCAGGTACTCATGCGGATGTTGCAATGGCCAAACTAGGAGTTGCTCCTTATATTGCTGGATCCGAATCCTGAACCTGCACAATTAGCTATATTTTTACACATAGGAGATCTTGTAAATCTTCACCATGAAATTAATCCTTTTGGTTGAAGCCCCATTTGAAAGGGTGCATGGTGCCCATTTCAACCATGGTAGCCATCTCCTGGTACCATGTGACATCACCATTTTAAGGGAGGTCTTGGAAACGCAGAGGACGTACCAGCTGTAACTCCTCCCCCGGGTAAAGGGGGAAGGGATCCTGGGTCAGTCGGATCTCCTGGTCTCCATGTCGCAGTTTGGCCTGTCCGACGTTATCGAACTCTACGGCTCGGGTATCGTCCCTCAGCACCGGGTTCTGAATCACGCAGTAGTGGCGGGGTGGCACCATCACCATACAGACTGGACGGAAGAGCACCCTGCGCAACAAGAACGCAATTTATGACCAAGCAACAAAATTGTATCAATATCAGCAATACAAAAAGGATATTCATGAGCCGGGAAATTATCAGGGACTGCGTCCCCTCAGATGTAGTTACTGCCTGGGCATTAGGGCAGCTGCAGAGGAGTGCTATGGCTATACAGCCTCCCTAAGGGGGTCTCCTCCGAGCCCAGGCCCCATAGCAGATGCATGAATCTCTTGGCTTTACAGCCTCCCTAATGGGGTCCCCTCCTATCCCAGGCCCCATAGCAGATGCATGAATCTCATGGCTATACAGCCTCCTTAATGGGGTCCCCTCCTATCCCAGGCCCCATAGCAGATGCATGAATCTCATGGCTATACAGCCTCCTTAATGGGGTCCCCTCCTATCCCAGGCCCCATAGCAGATGTGTGAATCTCTTGGCTATACAGCCTCCCTAAGGGGGTCCCCTCCTATCCCAGGCCCCATAGCAGATGTGTGAATCTCCTGGCTTTACAGCCTCCCTAATGGGGTCCCCTCCTATCCCAGGCCCCATAGCAGATGTGTGAATCTCTTGGCTTTACAGCCTCCCTAATGGGGTCCCCTCCTATCCCAGGCCCCAGAGAAGATGTGTGAATCTCTTGGCTATACAGCCTCCTTAATGGGCTCCCCTCCTATCCCAGGCTCCATAGCAGATGCGTGAATCTCATTGCTATACAGCCTCCTGAATGGGGTCCCGTCCTAAGCCAGGCTCCTAAGCAGATGTGCAAATCTCTTGGCTATACAGCCTCCCGTCCTATCCCAGGCCCCAGAGCAGATGTGTGAATCTCTTGGCTATACAGCCTCCTTAATGGGGACCCCTCCTATGCCAGGCCCCATAGCAGATGCCTGGGCTCATATGGCTATACGGCCTCCCTAATGGGGCCCCTCCTCTTACCCCAGGCCCCACAGCAGTTACATGAGCTGCTGTGGCTAATCAGCCTCCCTGAATGGGCCCTCCTTCTACCCTAGGCCCCATAGCAGCTGTATTGGCTGCTATGGCTATACAGCGTCCCTAAAAAAGGTACCCCCTCCCACCCCAGGTCCCAGAGCAGCCACACAGACTGCTATCGCCATACAGCCTCCATAATAATGCCCCTTTCCCACTCCAAGCCTCATAGAAGCCTCCTGGGCTCTTATGACTATACAGCCTCCCTAAGGAGACCCCTTTCCTACCCCGGGCCCCATATCAGGTGTCTGGCTGCTATAGCTACTCTTAAGCTACTGCGGGGGCGGATGCTTAACATGGCAAACCCAACCACACAGCAAAGATGATGTCCTATACAAAACACACGATCCACGGAGCATTTCCCATTGAACAATCAATATGGCACCATTGATCAGCAAAATGCCGAGGCAGCAGAGTCCACAGCCAATGTATATAGAATGTATCCATCTCAGGTCTGTCATCATCAGTACATTACGGTCTATAGGAGAGACGCGGATCCTAGAATCCGAAGATGAATAATTCATGTAGAGTCTCACAGACGGCTCCCAATTGTGGTATTATTTGTATGAGTTATATACCCAGGAAACAAATCTCCTGCTGCTTTACACTTTTTTTAATGTATACCAATGCCAATGCTACCAGTCTGTACACCCGCTGTGTCCAATATGAGGGGTTCCCGCCATCCCTGTGCGGAGTTCCCGGGTCTGTACACCCGCTGTGCCCATTATGAGGGGTTCCCGCCATCCCTGTGCTGAGTTCCCAGGTCTGTACACCTGCTGTGCCCATTATGAGGGTCTCCCACCGTCCCTGTGCCGAGTTCCCAGGTCTGTACACCCGCTGTGCCCATTATGAGGGGTTCCCGCCATCCCTGTGCTGAGTTCCCAGGTCTGTACACCCGCTGTGCCCATTATGAGGAGTTCCCACCGTCCCTGTGCTGAGTTCCTGGGTCTGTACACCCGCTGTGCCCATTATGAGGAGTTCCCACCGTCCCTGTGCTGAGTTCCCAGGTCTGTACACCCGCTGTGCCCATTATGAGGGTCTCCCACCATCCCCGTGCTGAGTTGGGTCTGTACACCCGCTGTGCCCATTATGAGGAGTTCCCACCGTCCCTGTGCTGAGTTCCCAGGTCTGTACACCCGCTGTGCCCATTATGAGGGGTTCCCACCATCCCTGTGCTGAGTTCCCGAGTCTGTACACCCGCTGTGCCCATTATGAGGGGTTCCCACCATCCCTGTGCTGAGTTCCCGAGTCTGTACACCCGCTGTGCCCATTATGAGGGGTTTCCCGCCATGAAAAGATTATAATGTTTCTTTGATGCGGTGGTACCTGGACCCTAAAGGGGAACTCACCTCTCATTGTCCTGGCGGATGTAGGTCTTGGGCCCGATCTCCACGCGGGCTATGTTGGTGTTCTGGTCCAGCACATGGATGTAGTGGTACGGGGGAATACGGATGATGGATTCTTCACTCATGGTCAGGCCGGAAGGATGAACCTGGAAGGTGAACACATGAAGGATTATCTGCTTGTTATCCTGTTCTCTATTTTTTTTTTTTCTTTTTAAACAGCCCAACTTTACCCTCACACTTCATTGTGACATTACCGGATATTTTTACATAATAATACGAATGGCGCTGCGTCTCCTCTTGCCTTGGCTGACCAACACAACGCAGCACTGCAGCGCACAGGGGTGGTAACGCATCACAGTGTACAGAGGTGAGAGATCTGCGCATCGCGGTGCATTGTTTTGGGCTCCATTCACACTTATGCGACTTGTCATGCAACTTCGGGGTCTAAAGTCACATGACAAGTCGCCCCCCCCCCCCCCCCCATGTTTCCCAATGGGGGCCATTCATAGCTCTGCCATTTCAAGTCGCAGCGTAATTCCTGCACTACTTTGGGCCGACTTTCATGCGACTTAAGGGCCATAGACTTCAATGCAAATCCTCCAAAGGGTTGTACATGCGACTTTGCACAGCAGAAAAAGGTTTGTGACAGGCAAGTGTCCGGTGTGCAGACAGGGGTCAGGTATACGACAGGCGAGTGTCCGGTGTGCAGACAGGGGTCAGGTATACGACAGGCGAGTGTCCGGTGTGCAGACAGGGGTCAGGTATACGACAGGCGAGTGTCCGGTGTGCAGACAGGGGTCAGGTATACGACAGGCGAGTGTCCGGTGTGCAGACAGGGGTCAGGTATACGACAGGCGAGTGTCCGGTGTGCAGACAGGGGTCAGGTATACGACAGGCGAGTGTCCGGTGTGCAGACAGGGGTCAGGTATACGACAGGCGAGTGTCCGGTGTGCAGACAGGGGTCAGGTATACGACAGGCGAGTGTCCGGTGTGCAGACAGGGGTCAGGTATACGACAGGCGAGTGTCCGGTGTGCAGACAGGGGTCAGGTATACGACAGGCGAGTGTCCGGTGTGCAGAGACAGGGGTCAGGTATACGACAGGCGAGTGTCCGGTGTGCAGACAGGGGTCAGGTATACGACAGGCGAGTGTCCGGTGTGCAGACAGGGGTCAGGTATACGACAGGCGAGTGTCCGGTGTGCAGACAGGTGTCAGGTATACAAAGACAGGTAAGTGTCCGGTGTGCAGAGAGGTGTCAGGTTTGCAGCAGGTAAGTGTCAGGTGTGCAGACAGGTGTCAGGTATGTGTCCAGGGGAGTGTCAGGTATACAGTAGAGCTGGGTGTGGCAGGGAGACTACCCAGGGAAATCCTTCACATTCAGACACAGTTACTGGCACGCTGTTATTAACCCTTTACAATGTTCAATGTGCAGCCATCCATAACAAGGCTGAAGTATCTAAAGATAACCCATCACGCCACTGTAGCTCTCCCTCCCTGAACTGACAACCTCCTGATCTGCGTATTAGCTGTGTGAACGTATCGAAGCCTGGAGACCAACATGACTGCCAGGAGGCTCACAGTTTGTAGGTCAGCAATGGCGGGCAATGTACTCCAGTCACCCAAGGGATTAAAGGAAACCGCTCATGAAATACGGGGGGGGGGGGGCAATATGACCGACCCAACCAAGTCGGAACCGCGCCGATATGATGACCAAGTCAGAACCGCACCGATATGACCGACCCAACCAAGTCAGAACCGCACCGATATGACCGACCCCCAAGCAAGTCAGAACTGCACCGATATGACCGACCCAAGCAAGTCGAACCGCACCGATATGACCGACCCAAGCAAGTCAGAACCGCACCGATATGACCGACCCAAGCAAGTCAGAACCGCACCGATATGACCGACCCAAGCAAGTCGGAACCGCACCGATATGACCGACCCAAGCAAGTCGGAACCGCACCGATATGACCGACCCAAGCAAGTCAGAACCGCACCGATATGACCGACCCAAGCAAGTCAGAACCGCACCGATATGACCGACCCAAGCAAGTCAGAACCGCACCGATATGACCGACCCAAGCAAGTCAGAACCGCACCGATATGACCGACCCAAGCAAGTCAGAACCGCACCGATATGACCGACCCAAGCAAGTCAGAACCACACCGATATGACCGACCCAAGCAAGTCAGAACCGCACCGATATGACCGACCCAACCAAGTCAGAACCGCACCGATATGACCGACCCAAGCAAGTCGGAAACCGCACCGATATGACCGACCCAAGCAAGTCGGAACCGCACCGATATGACCTCTCCGACCAAGTCGGAACCGCACCGATATGACTCCTCTAATTGCGGACAATAGGGTGTGACTTGGCATGCAACCCTAAGTAAAATGGGGAGTGTGATCATGAACATGGGGAGGAAAAAACAAGGCGCAGAGAGGCCCAGCCATGGGATGGAGGCTCCTTCCCAGCAGCTCCAGTCCCTGCCATCCATCAGCACAATGTCTCCTCCTCCATCAGGGCACCGACTGCAGCCCTAAAGTGGCCCTTTAAGGGCGACACACCCACAGCCTGCGAATGCTGACAGATGAAGACGTTAGGGAGATCCCAGAGGAGGAGGGGAAAGGCCGCCATCACTTCCTGTAACTTATCGGATGATGGAGCGCACACAGCTGGTGTCACATGACCTACGCACATATCCAGGGCCCGGATTACAGCGGTGCCCATTCACAGCCAGGCGTATCCTGCACATTGACGCATGTACACACATTAGCCATGGTCAGTATTTTTGATGCAAGTAGGAGAGCCTGCCGATGACTGACAGCACATGACAATGATTGCTACAGGCTAAAGTTTAATCTGGTCCCCCCCCCCCCCCCCACATACTAATGACATTTTTTAAATAAAACTTTTATATTTTCAAACCAGTGACACCATCACTGGGTCTCAATGCTTCTCTATGCAATGCATGCAGATCATGGTGGGTGGGAGGGGCCAGCAGGGTGGTGGACATGGCTTCCTGAAAACATCACAGCACCCCGCCCCAGTACTTCCCTCAAGGGCCCTCAGTCCTGATGCCAGCAGTGGGAGGAGTTGTGCAAATATCAAAATGCCTTGATAGGTGGGTGTCAGTGTGGAGGAGTGGGCGTACCTAGGCAGGCTTTATTAGGCAACGCCTACAAGTGATGCTGAGCCTCTATGATTGAAAGAACTTAAAGCCAATGAATGAAAGGGGAGGGGCCAGGGACAGTAAACAGTGACACCATCACTAGGTCTCTATACTTCTCTATGCAATGCAGGCAGATCCTAGGCAGGCTTTATTAGGTAAAGCCTACTAGTGATGCTGAGCCTCTATGATTGAAAGAACTGAAAGCCAATGAATGAAAGGGGAGGGTCCAGAACAGGCAGGCTGGGGAGGAAAGCGCTAGATGATGCTGGGTGTCCTCCAGCCAGGAAATGATGCAGAGCTCTGATGTCCTGCAGCTTCTAATGCACATTGTGAGCAGCTCACAGTGTGCAGTGAAATCAGAGTCCAGGAGAGGAGCCGCTACAACTGGAAGGCTGGAGATCCACCTACAACGATTTTTTTTCAGCATTGGATAGAGTAAGGAAGGATAGGAATCCCTGTCAGGTTTTTGTTGCTAGCCAGGGCTCCATTAAAGAAACTCCCCCTCACTTCCTGCCCTGGTGACAACCGTTTTACTAGACAGGAAGTGGGGGGAAATCTGCTATCCAGGGGCCCATTAAAGAATCTCTCCCTCACTTCCTGTCCTGGTGACAACCGTTTTACTACACAGGAAGTGGAGGGAAATCTGCTATCCAGGGGTCCATTAAAGAAACTCCCCCTCACTTCCTGTCCTGGTGACAACCGTTTTACTAGGCAAGTAAGGGGGAATCTGTATATCTGTGAAATCGTTTCCGTTTTACTAGGCAAGTAAGGGGAAATCTGCTATCCAGGGCCCAATAAAGAATCTCCCCCTCACTTCCTGTCTTGGTGACAACCGTTTTACTAGACAGGAAGTATGGGGAAATCTGCTATCCAGGGGTCCATTAAAGAATCTCCCCCTCACTTCCTGTCCTGGTGACAACCGTTTTACTAGACAGGAAGTGGGGGGGGGAAAATCTGCTATCCAGGGGTCCATTAAAGAACTGGTGCAGTTGTTGTCACCAGGACAGGAAGTGAGGGGGAATCGCTCTCAGGGAGCCCCAGACAGCCATAAAAATCCAACTGAGCAACTAATCCTTCCCCGCTCTATCCAAAGCCGATTGTTTTTTTTTGTTGTGGGCATACACTGCAATAATTAGGCAGCTGCCATGTGAGTGTCTGTCATTGGCTCGCCCCGGGGTCGCATTGCTCAGCGATGAGCTGTACTATCATGACGAAGAGCCAACTGATTGCTCAGCGAGTCCTGTGGGCGCCTACAGGGGGCGTCACATCTCAAGTATTGCATAAGGTGGAGGAAGAAAGAACAACAAGTTAACTATTTCAGATGCAGAAAATGTTCACCTCTCAGTGCCGGTCACTCCGGTGCGATTTCAGGTGCGATTTGTGAATTGATATCGCATGTAATGAATGTGAACGTCGGGGCCTTAACATGAGCGATTTCTAAAGTAGCTCTTCCATGACTTTTCCTGCACTGTTGCTGCGATTTCACAGACATAGAATAGAAATCGCACTGCAAATGGCAAGAAATGGTAGAAAAATCTTCACAAGTCGCAATAAAAAAATGGCACCTGAAATCGCACACAAGTTGCAGCGGTGTGACCAGACTAACTCCATTCAGTTATTTTTCCTTTTGGAAACAGCGAGAGTTAAACTTCATTCTCACTTGTGTGACTTCAAAATCCTGCGATTTTCATTGTGACTTTACAGTGCGACTTGATGCAACTTTGGATGAGCGGGACCAGGGGCGGACTGACAACTCATGGGGCCCCCCGAGCAATAGGGGGATCATGGGGCCCGTGTATCCTCTCCCACACTCAAAATACACTAAAAAAAGCCTATTAAAAAAAAAAAAGTGTACCAGGGGCATTTCATGGGGCCCCCTACTGACCCCGGGCCCTCGGGCAGTGCCCAAGTGCTCGAATGGTCAGTCCGCCCCTGAGCGGGACTTT